GGCGGAGTGCGACGATACAAATCGACGACAAAGGACCGGCGCGGGGGGGGGGGGAGGTTGCCGCAAGGGAAAACCGCGCGAAATATTTTAATAAAGCTGTCCGCGATTATTGCGCGCCACCCGCCATCCGACCTGATGCCGTAAAACAATATGCGAGGAACCTAACGAATTAAACACCTCGCAATTGGACGCAATTATTTGGTCTCGTTGAAAATGCAATCTGCCGGCGCATTACGGGGGATTATGCGAACGAGCGGGGGGCGGACAGGCGGGGGCGCACGGTCACGCGCACTTGATGTAGAACGCCGAAATGCGCAATTCGCGCTTTATTTCACGTTCGCTCGCCCGCGCGCGCGCGCGTATGGATAATCCCACGAGTCTTCTATGATTTAGCGATATCTCCCTGTTGCACCGACTTTATTAATTCATCCAGTTATTTGCCGTATCCTCCTGTCTCCCTCCCTCCCTCTCTCTCTCTCCCCTCCCTCTTTCTCTTCCTGCTTCTCTTTCATCCGTTATTCCATGTTATGCGCACGAATTTCACGAGTAGCGCACTGCGACTAGCGGTATTACGGGCTGCATCATTTATTCAGCAAACAGTCAGCGCTGGACGCACGTCTGGCTACGGCGAGATTTACCATGCAAAACAATCGAGTGGAGTTGTATAACACTATATCCCCTCTCGCAAGAAGATTTCCGATCTCGATATCTGATTGCGTGTATTCGCCAGAATCTCGCCAATCACTCAAACTTCTTATTAAGCTTCACTTTTGTAGTTGAGCTGCGCGAGAATCCGTTCGTGCCCCTGCCAGAAGGGAAATATATTTGAGCACCGCGACAGCAACCGACCGCGGAAATTTCTCAGCAAACTGCGATTGGGATCCGTGCATTTCGCGCATGTAATTCACATGGCATGCGCAATCAGAGTGATTTTGCTCGTTACATGCCAGTCCCCGGCGTGGACAAACGCCCGCGCCGCGCCGCGCCGCGCCCGGGCGATCTCGGCGCGGCATGCATATCGGATTGCATGCGGGGCGTCGCTCTCTCCGATGCGTATATCGCCCCCGCGAATGGTGGAATTAAAGTCGCGTATCGACCGGCGCGGAGGCCGGAGGGACGGCTGCGAGACGAGTAAGAAATCGAGCGGAGTAGCAGTCGTCCGGCTGGTCCGGATGCCCGCGGCTGGTCTGGTTCTAAGATTACGATCATAACGAAAAAGCTTCTCGCTCCCATTGGATGCCAGTCTTTCTCTCTCTTTCTCTCCTCCTCTCTCTCTCTCTCTCT